ATTTAGATTCCCATCACACTCTCTGTGTGTGTGTGGGGAGGGCCTTGCAGCTCCCTCTTGCTGGCCTGGCCTGGATTTGGGCCCCACCGCCTCTGCCCCTGACTTGTAAGGGGCAGGGCGACAGCTGTAAGGGGGTGCCCGCAGGGTGAGGGAGCTGACGGGAGGTCTTCTGTCTCCAGCAGGGCAGGGGGACTCCCTGGAGAAGCTGGCCACGCTGGTGTCGCTTGGGGTCTTCGCCTTCTTTGCCCTGGTGGCCCTGCTGCTCTTCGCCTTCCTGGTGTGGTAGGTGGAACAGCTGGAGACGGGCCGGCCGGGTGGGGGAGCCTGCTTGCCCTCTGGGTCTGAGGGGAGAAGCCTTGTAGGACGATCTGGATGTGGATTCTGTCCTCCGGGTCACGGTTGCCCCAAGGGGGCTTTTCCCAAAGTCGGCTGGGACTCCTTGGTCTTTTCCCCTCCAACGCGGGTGGCTTCTCCTCCAAGCAGCTTCCTCAGAGTGAGCCCCTTGGGTGAGTTTTTGGAGGAAGCGCCTTTGTTGGGACAGTTTCTCCATCTTTCTTCCTCTCTCCCTCTTTCCGTGGAAAGGATCCGGGCGAAGAGGCAGAGCAAAGAGGCCGACAAGCACCAGGAGCTGCTCTCAGCTGCCACCCACCTGAAGGCCTTGCCCAGTGAGTATGAAATGCGCATAACCGTTGCAAGCGCAGGAGCAGGCATGCCAGCACAAGTGAACCAGTAGCGCTTTGCATCCCACCTCTGGCGCACTCGCATTGCCCGAACTGGTAGCGACGGTCAGTTGATTTCAGCCCCGCCCCCTCCCCTCGGTTGGTGGGACCCCGTCAAGAAAAGGGGGCTCAGGTCCCATGCAGGGAACAGTTGGGACCCTGCTGGGGGGAGGATCCTGGAGGAACAATCAAATCAGGGCAGGTCACTGTATATATAAGCCAAGAGAAAACCCCACACCCCCTTCTAGCATGGGTGGTGTTACCTCGCTGGGTCGTGAAACGTTGGCAAGGAAACAGTTACGCTCAGGGAGCACCAAGGACCCCACAGTTCAATCCTCAACTCCACAGATCCTCTTCCGTTGCTATCCGATCAGTGAAGAGGGCTCTTTTGGGGGGCTCCCCATCCCCAAAAGGTGGGAGGTTCCCATGGCTCAAAGTGGTCTCCAGAATTGAATCGTTTTTAATCCCGGGACATTTGTCCAGGCCAGAGGTGGCTGGGGCTGCAGCTGGACAGAGAAGATCCAGGTGTGTTGTGGGCAGAAGCCTCGGTCCCAGCACAAAGCCAGCGGCTGTTTGAGCCGAAGGAGGCTGGGGGTTTGGGGGGTCCACTTGTTGATAGGCTGCCCGTCCTAGGAGACCTGCAAGCACAGCTTCCCTCCAGAGGTTGCTGGATGCTCCGTCACTGGAGGCTTTCAAGGAGAGAGTGGACAGCCATTCGTCTCCTGCTTGAGCAGGGGGCTGGACTAGAAGACCTCCAGGGTCCCTCCCAACCCTGTTATCTAAGGCAGATTTTGGTTTCCGTTCTGTGTTGACCAGCCTCTGTCTCTCTGTCTCTCCTTCCCTCTCCCTCCCTCCCTCCCTCTGTAACTCTCCCTCCCTCCATTTCTCCCTCCCTCTCTCCATTTCTCCCACTCTTCCTCCCTCCCTCCATTTCTCCCCCCCTCTCTCCATTTCTCCCTCTCTTCCTCCCTCCCTCCCTCCATTTCTCCCTCCCGCTGTAACTCTCCCTCCCTCCCTCTTTCCCTCCCATTTCTCTCTCTCTCCCTCCCTCCATTTTTCCCCCTCCCACTGTAACTCTCCCTCTATTTCTCCCTCCCTCCCTCTGTAACTCTCCCTCCCTCCATTTATCCCTCCCTCCCTCTTTCCCTCCCCCCATTTCTCCCTCCCTCCCTCTCCCTTCCTCCATTTCTCCCCCTCCCTCTGTAACTCTTCCTCCCTCCATTTCTCCCTCCCTCCCTCCATTTCTCCCTCCCTCCATTTCTCCCTCCCTCCCTCTGTAACTCTTCCTCTCTCCCTCCGTTTCTCCCTCCCTCCCTGCAGAAGGCCAGATCTTGTAGCACAGCTCTTCCTGTGCTTGGCAGAGCAGCCTCCTCCCCCAGGCAGGGGACCATGGACCTCACCCACTGCAGCTGCTGTTGATTCTCCAGGGCACGTGACCCGGGCACCCGGCCCTGCCCAGCCACCCTGGACCTGCGCTGCTTATCTGCCGGAAGTTGGCATCGGAGGCCCAGCGGGTCCCACCCTCGGCTGCAAACAGGCTGCCTGCCAGAGGCTGCGGAGTTTGGACTCGTCCGGGAGCTGCCAGTGGGAGAAGGGCTGCTGTCGGCTGAGCCAGCCCCTGGCACCACCCGTCTCTCCCGGGAAGCCGAAGCTCAGCAGACTGGGGGGCGGGGGGGACCGGGCTCCCCGGGACGGCCTTGCTGAGAGAGAGAGAGAGAGAGAGCACAGCCTGGCAGGACACCCGAAAGAGCCTTTGGCACAAGGGGAGAAGGACAGCTGACCAGAAGTGACGGCTGAGGCCTCCCTGTATGCCAGTTGTGGGGCTGTGTGTGTGCGTGTGTGTGTGTTTGTGTGCGGACACATCTGTGCTTGGTTTGGTTCAGAGAATTAAATTTCAAATTTTTTTAATGAATGGTGGCCAGTGCAAACCCTGCTTGCGCGGAGAAGATGCCTCGGGTTCTGCTCGGAGCCTTGCCCAGACGGACTCCCTGGCCAGAGGGCTCAGGACCCGCCCCCCACCGCTGCCTCTTACAGCGCCCCCCCCTGGCTGTGACAGCCGAGTGCCAGCCACAAAGGCCAGAGGAAGACGGGCAGAGAGGTTGGCATGTCTGCAAAGGCAGAGGGCAGTCCTTGGCTGCTCCAGAGGACTTCCAGCCCTGACCCCTGGCATGGAAGAAGTGGGCACCTTTCCGGGCTTGCTTCTCCCCCCCCGCCTGCCAAAGGAGAGCGAAGAGAGACTTCTGGAGTTGGGGGAGCAGGGTGGGGGGCACCTCCTGACACCAGCCAGGCACCATGCGGGAGGCGGCCCTGGGAGGGCAGGAGGAGGGAGACGGGCAGCGGGCAACCTCATCCAAATGGGCAAAAGACTGGATGGGGTCACCGCAGGCTGGTGTGTGGGCTTCCCCCTGGGTGGGCTTCTCTGTTGGCCACCAGACCTTGAGGAAATGAGACCCCCAAGATGGGGGGGATCCTCTTCGGAACATGCAGGAGTCGATTGGAGAGGAAGAGGGGGGGAAAGGGGGGGCTCCTTCCCTCCAGGATCCGCCCCTCTTTCCTGCATCCCTGCACCAGCCTCCCATCCTGGGGGGTGGGGGGGGTGGGGGAGCGAGGCAGTTGCCCTGAGTTCAAGAGCGGTTGGGTTGGAGGCCCAGGGCAGGTTGCCAGAAAGGAGAGGACGGTTGAGAACTAAGACCAGGCTAAAGAGGCTAGAATCCTCAGGCTGGAAGGGGCCTTGGAGGTCATCTAGTCCAGTGTTTCTCAACCTTGGCAACTTGAAGATGTCTGGACTTCAACTCCCAGAATTCCCCAGCCAGCATTCGCTGGCTGGGGAATTCTGGGAGTTGAAGTCCA